GACCGGAGTCTATGGTGGGTAATTGAACGTAGTGAATTTTGTATATTTATGTTCAGGTAATTTATTGTCTAGCCACAATAATCTTCCATTCTACAACATACATTCTTCAGCTGTTTATGTTTTGAGTATGTTTCACTGATCAAAGAGTTCCTGAAAAGTTTTATTGAAATATTAAAAATATTAATATATTAAAAAATATTATTGAAATATTAAAGTATTTTGACTGAATTGATAATTTTTATATTTGAGTATGTTTGATATTGCAAATTATTAGAGTTTGATTAACTGTAAGATAAAAATAAATTTTAGTTGCATGGATTCATTTGATGAAATACAAGTTTTTTTAGCTCCGCTGTCAACTTTGTCGAGCGAGCTTATCATACGAGTGATTGTCCGTTTTTACATTTTCAACTTCTTCTTGAAAACTACAATTCTTATTGCTTTGATACTTGGTATATATGTACCTTGGGCAGACCTCTCTTAGATTTGTTCATTTTGTGATGATATCTTTAATTCTCTAATTTTAATGAATATTTTTGTCTTTTTTGATAGAAAGTGATATTTTCCACTTTATGTTGAAAACAACAAGTCCGATTGCTTGATACTATACATATTGTTCATTTTCTAATGATGTCTTCAGTTCTTTAATTGAAATGTGCATTGCTAACAGCGGAGCTATCTTAGCGGAGAGACTGCTTGTTTATACACATACAAGTAGGTAAATAAGAAAGAAGTTTTTCAGTATTTAAATTATAGTGTATATTCTGTGTGTAGCATTTTACATATGAAGCAGTATGTGTTGTAAAACAAACGCAACAATTACGGTAATTGCAAGATATCTGGGTCAGAAATTGTTAGCAAACAGGCGAACATTGACATCAAGTCCATCAAATTGCATGTTAAAATGATGTCTCTTTAATGCGGCCTACTTAATTTTCAGATAATCAAAATTTGATGAGAAGATGCGTATGATGAACAATCACTTCTCCAGTTGTTCTGTCCTTTTTCTAAATTTATACCTGTTATATGAGATTTCATAGCATTTGCCACTGCGTCCAAGCGAACATGGACCATTTCATATTCCTATCTTAGTTCCTAGTTTAGTGTATTCCAAAGCAAGATTCAATACAGAATGTTTAGATTTTAGGTATTCCAGATAAAAAATATATCAGTCAGGTTCTGACATACATAATTCGTGAACGCCTTTAGTGACTGATTTCAATTCTTGGCTAATTTTAACACATACCAGTATGTTAAAGACTTTTAAAAAGTTTAACAGATAATACAGCTTTAACAAATTATTTTTGCTGCCAAACAAAAGAATCAGAACTTTTATAAAAAAAAAAAAAATTCATGGATAGTATTAGAAATGTAAATTTGTTAACAAACCTCTGGTTCTGGGTGACCACCGGGAACATCCCAGAGTCCAGCAGCTTCTCCAACATTGTTGCTTCTACGTATAAATATAAAACAGTCGTCTGCTGTTTGCACCATGGCGGCAACGCCTAACGGATCAGACATGTATGCTTGCTGGTTGCCGTAGTCTCTCTTCCCAATCTGGTGCAGACGTTTGACGTCAGGGGACCAGTTTGTAGCCAGATAGTCCCGGTAACAAGTCAGACCCAGATACAGCGTTAATACCGAATTGTTTTCGCATTTCCACGAGTCCAGTCGGAATTTGGAACCGTTGTAGAGGCGAGGGTTCTGAGTTAGTCGTTGTGACCATATGTTTTCGATGTTTTTCTCATGTGATTGAAGTACTTTGCGGTTGTACTGCTCTCCCATAACAACGTCGACCTGAGATTTCGGCATACCGGCGGTCGAGATATGCACGATTGCTTCCAAATCAGAAATGTCACCCATTATAATTTTTAAAGTCTTTAACTTGATTGGAACGTTTCAGTGCAGAATGCGATGTGTCGCGGATTATTGCTATCATTGCCAAATCAGACGGATGATTGCCAATGTAGTGCCTCCGACGTGGCTGGTCTAGTTGAATGAATCAGCTGTGTGCTGTGTGTGTAACAAGTTGTTGACAGCACACATTCAACAGCGCCACCAGGTGACAGTACTGAGGAATGTTGAGGACGCTATACCGTAATCAAATACTTGCCAGTAGTTGCAGGTCAGCATTTGGTCAAACTCAAATTTTTTTAATAATATTTATAATAATGGATTTCAAATTTGAGTTTAATGTTGAACAGGACGATGTTGGAAGTACAGAGATAGAAGATGGAAAAAGAGGTAGTAAAGAATCGAATGAGGAGTTAAAAGAATGCAAGAAATTGAAGGGTACTGTCCATACTGCTCCAGTCAGAGAATTTCATCCGTTGTCAGAAGATAGTACTGTACTGAAAGAGAGAAAATGGGTAAACATGGACGTTGGGGGCGTTACACTGCGACATGTGGATGCTGCTGATGTTGAATTCAAACTTCAAGAAGAGCAAGAGAAAGAAGGAAGCAATCTTCTGAAAGCTATCTCTCAACACACTGACCTGATACCTCAAGTCTACGAGGGCGGTCTGAAAATATGGGAATGCTCGGTTGATTTGGTGGACTATCTACAGGACATTGAAGTGGATTTTGCAAGCAAGCGAGTGTTAGAGCTCGGATGTGGTGCAGGACTCCCAGGACTATTTGCTATGCAGCAAGGCGCTGTGGTGTGCTTTCAAGACTACAACGAGGAAGTCATTCAGGAGATAACCCTTCCAAATTTTCATCTGAACATCAATGAGAAAGCGACAGACAATCAAAAGAAATGTACATTCTTATCTGGCGACTGGAGTTCAGTTGAAAAGATGCTATTGTCAAACATGCCGAATGACGAAGATAAATTTGATGTGATACTGACTTCAGAAACGATATACAACGTGGATTCTCTTGATAAACTTCATCAAATTATTAAATCAACTTTGAAAATTGATGGGGTTGTATACTTGGCTGCGAAAACACATTATTTTGGAGTTGGAGGGGGGACAAGACTTTTTGAAGAGCTGGTTCAGAGAGAAGGGTATTTCACAATCACAGTTTGCAAGACATGTAGTGACGGAGTTCAGAGAGAAATTCTGAAGATGCAAAGGAAGAAATAGAAATAAATAACAATCACAGAAACAAGAAAACAAGACACATTGTATGACTTAAACATCCTTTGACTACTTGTTTTGTTGAAAGCAACTGAGCATGCATTTTAATTTTAAGTGAACAATGTACTTTATACTCATTGTGTACATTGCATGTACCTATTAAGCATGGTTCTATGTGACTATTATCAGGCTTTAAGGTTGATCAATACAGTTTCACAACAAGAATGGGTTTGAACCAAACATGCAGGATTTTTCACATGAGAACACGTTCTATATATGTGTCAGCACTAGCACTTGCAATTTGCACATACAAAAAAAGTGTCGAGAGAGACAACGGTGGCACTCTGTGTCCAGAACTGTCGCCTGGCACAAAAAATATTTGAAAAAAAAAAAAAATCTATTTGTTAGCATAGAGAAAATTACTGAAACTTTTATAATTTTCCAAATAACTCTGTTTTCCATGTTTAAAAATATAGTTCAGACACATTGTCTCATTATTTTGAGTTTCAAAAAATAAATTTTCTAATTGAATGTTTTACTTTCCCCTGTATACGCTTATCGCAAGCCAACAATTTGGACAGTGACACTTATTTTTGTTCACACATATGACCTAGTATAGACTAGACGGTGATTGCAATGAGCAATCTATTCGCAAAATATTAAAAAAATTCAAAACAATTTCATGAAACTGTAATGTTGAACCATTACTAATAAAATAACTACTTGTAAGTTTTGTCAAGCTACCAATTTAAAGAAGATATCAATCAAATTTATAAATTTAAGTAATTTTTTGTATCAATTATAAATATAAATTGAGTATGTATGTATTTTGTCTGCATTTCTGCA